TGCTCGATATTTAGATTCTACAGAAATAAAATGATAACTAAAAAGTTAGGAAAATACGCACTAAAATCATAGTTTACAAATTTTCATTTATTTTGAATGTTCTCTGGTATATAATCGAACTGAAGTCAAACAAACCCCAGACATCAGCAATTAAGGAAATTAGTGACCCATATCATAGTTAAGTAAATAAAGACTACTGTTTCATGTCACAAAATGTGAATGTTTGTCATTAATTATTCCATGACCTTCACTCATCTTCTTCACTCTCACTAACAGAAGGCACTGGAAGTTTGTCTTTTACAGATTTGCTGCATGGCAATGACTCATAGTATGATTCGAACTTCTTCGGAATTGTCCCAAGGGCAACAAGTGACATCAAATCAGCTTTTTTGCAGCAGATATTGGAGACTTCTCTTTATAAACCTTTTGTGGAGCCTTAAGATACTTTTCTTTGCTTCTGTTCTTCTTCTGCATTAACCTTACTTCCTTGAACTCACTAACATCAAAACCATAGCTCACAAAAGTACTGTATTCTTTGTCTTTACGAACTTGAATACATTTTATATTCAACCAATTAACACGTTCACCATCAACATCGATTTTCACTGAGCCAAAGTTTTGTTCTTTGTACAACTTGTAATCTAGTATGTCAGTGTATTTTATTGGAACGACAATATATGGTTGCTTCTGACGTGCTTATGATATAACTGTTTCCCACTGAGATGAAACATGAACTATTGTGAGGCTTTTTGCATGCTCAATAGATGCATGTATGGAATTCCATTCCATTTCTGAATGACCACTTTCAAGAAATTTGTGGTTTATACACTTGATGTGAGGAATATCTTGGACACAGTGAACTAAGCAACTTGCAACAAACTTATTGCAATGCTGTCCTTCACATGCATTACTATATAATGTCACTTCTTCAATACCAGATGTCTTACTTGCAGCAGAAGTTACATACAAGTACACAAAAGTTCCTACTTCGCACGAGCCTCGTTTCCGCATGTGTCTCATCCCACATATAACAAGTCCCGTTACCATTTCCCAGTTCATAGAATGACAAATTGCAACAACAGAGTTTTCTTTTGTAATAAAGTTTACTAATTAAACTGCATGGTGTTGTCAAAACAGCCTGGATATCAAATGCCGACACAGAAAACTTTGGATCTTTCTTTGTTCGTTCTTTATCGGCTGATTTTTCCATTCTAGCACTGTTTTTCTTTCTTGGTGTGCCTGATATTTTGCTTTTGTTGCCTCATCTAGTCTATCTTCTATTTTCAAAGTGTCATACAGATTGCAGAGTGGACATTGATCTTTCTTAGGATGAAAGAAAGAAAGTTATATTCTGTATTGAAAATGTTTCTGTACACAGCCTCTGAAACACATCTTCTATTTTGTCCTTTGCATTTTTCTACATACAGTGAGTATATTCGCTTTATATTTAAATCTTGTGTTAGATACTTCCTGTTGGAGTCTTCGTGTGTAGTGTGATTCAACAGTCGGAAAGCTTTCGTTGTGTTTCTTTACAAATGATCTGTGATATTCCGTGGTTTTATTTCCAGGCACAGCTTTCCCTCTCTTGTCATTTCCAACATATAACCCTGCCACTTTGTGCTTAACTGCGTTTGCAACTGTTTTGGAACCGACATCGAGAGTTTTAAGAAAAAGGTCTTTGCAACCAACTGTGAAGAAAAACGAATTTGAAATAGTTCTTTGTTTTGTTCTCTGTTTAGATACCTTCTCTGGTTCTTTATTGGCAACATGGAAACAAATGAATTGCCTCTGACTTGTGTTATCACCCATTGACCAGTATGTACTGAATATTTTCTGCCTTTTATTTTCGGTTACATTCTCCCTGCATTTAAATCTAAAGAATAAATTTCTTGGGAAAAGAGATAATAGATAGTGCCTGTGAACTGTATGAATGCAGTATTCTGTCAGAGGAAAAAGGTGATAAAATCAGTTATAACCTTTTTCCACTACAGATTCTTCACAGCATGTGGTACAACAAGTAAACAACAGGTAATAAGTACACTTAGAACCTTTTACCCCTATATAATTTGTAGAAAAGAAGTTATTACAAAATACATTTTAATGTTTTGCCCTTATAAGGATTGAATATTTATATAATATTTTCGTCAGACATAAAGGAAAATAAGTACATTATAAAAAACATAAAAAGTCAATTTCGGCAAAAATGGCAGTTATAACCTTTTACCTTTGAACCCTCGATATTATATTCTTATAATTTACATTTTCATCGAACGCGAGTCTGTGTTCTCTCGTTAGCGAGGGACTTAGTTACAGTAGACACTGCGGTAACAAGCAAACCAATGCTGAACGTACAGTGAATCAGTTTTCTTTATTTTTTTTGGTCAGATTTGCATGATAATGTAGTATTTGTTGGCGATTTCTTGTGAAAGTTGAAACCTACGGAAAGTTTTAGCGCACGAACATCGCACCCGAAATAACAAGGGTAACATATTTTTGTATCCCATCAAATATGGTCAATTTATTTATTTTTGAATAGACGTGATACACACTTATGGACAGAATTCAGACAACTACAGAATTATATAAATTAAACATAAATTAGCGAAGAACCATTTTTATAGTCTTCTAGCTAGTGTTCCCGCTCCCATACGACGCGTTGCGGTATTCAAGATACGCGCTTGATTGAAAAGAAAGCTATCTAATCAAATCACTTCATTGTTCTTTTATTCTTAAAAATATATATAAAATACAACAGTATATCATGGTAATTAAATAAATCTTTGTGTGTTAGAATTTATAAACCTTACTGATATTTTCACTTCAAATGATTTTGATTTTTTTAAATAATGGTTTGCTAGTAAAATTGCCTTTTAGACTCCAACTTTGTTGTCATTTTTCATTTTAATGATAACATTTAGCTATTGATCCGTAAGTAAATAATAATAATATATATTTTTTATAATTACCGAGTACATTTCACGCTAATTGTGAGACAAACCCTAAATGACGTCTATATGGGCGCCGCCATTTTGAAATGGACGTCACGTCAGGTTACAACGTAAGTCAAGGGGAAAAAATATAATTTTAACATTTTGACCATATTACTGACTTTATGAAAAAAAAGAAAATCATGCCTAGAGATATTGACGTCAGGGTCAACATGAATTAATTTAAATGATTTTACTATTATATTAAATAAAAAATGGAATGTTCAAATTTGATGGGACAGACTATAGTGTCCTGTTCGGAAGAAATTGAAGACTATTTTCAGCTGCTGTCAACCCATTTTATTTTAGAATATATTATTGAGGCGATGGTGTGGGATAACATGAATGTATGTTACTACAAAAATCTAAGCATCTATTCATTGTTTTATGTATGTACTGTTTTCATCGGAAATTTGGAACCTCAATTTAACTTCCTTGAAACCTAATATAACTTCCTTGATATTTGTTACACATCCATTTTTCTATTCATGAATAGGAAATTAAATGACTTTTGAACAAATGTTGCGTCCGAGATGCTGATTGATTGTATTTGTATGTATCAATAGATAAACATTTGTGCAGAGATGAACAATAATAGTAAATTTTGATGTCTTTAATCCCTTTATTTAAAATAATTTATTGGAACTGATTGTGACACAAGTGAGTAAATAAATATTTGTAGTATATTCTTATGTATCATTGTCCATTTGGGTTTATGAACGTAACATATTACTTTTAAAGTTCTGTTTTATAATTAATGACTTTCTAAAAAGTTTTATCTACATATTGTTTAAAATTAGTCTGTTTTGCAACTACTTATATTATAAAACCATTATTGTGAAATGAATAATGCCATGGTGACGTTTAAAGTAATTTGTATAATTGTCGTTATATATTGTTCACAGTAATGTTAAGATTCATACATTTTCTTACTATTTTGACAATGGCAGATTGTATAATATGATGTGGCGAGCATTATTACTTGTTTTGGCCGCTAACTGTAAGTTTCATTTATTTACATTTAAGACTTGTGAATATTACTCTTACGAAAGACATTATCGAATTTTTTTCGTAAAAGTTTCAAACAAAACTTATGATAACAATTTAAATTTTAGATAGTTATTACATTATTTTATTATCTTTTTGTTGCATGCCCTTTATCATACATTTCTACTGGCAATAAGGAACTATGCATATTTGCAACTTCTATGAGAATAATATCTATTCAATATATTATAATAGAAGATCAAAAAGATGATTTAAATGGCGAGTAAAAAGATAACAATAACAACTTTAAATTTTGTCTATTGATAATTTTACCTTCTACTTTGCCCAAAAAAATATAAATAAAAATAATAATAATAAATAAATAAATAAAAAAAATTAACGACACGACTCCTTCAAAAATATATAAATATTCTTCATAATATAATTATCAGAAACGTTCAATTTATTTTAAGAGCGGGACAGTCTTTTTCAATTTTATGCAGTTTTTATATTTTATCCTAACCATTTTTGTATAAAACATTTTTGGTAAATGACCATAATAATAGTCCATCTTATAAAATATAAAACGAAATATTCCAACTTCACAATGAAAAGAAAAATAAGCAAAATGTCACTTTAATTAAAAAGGTTTTCATAAAGTCGAGGTTATTTGTACTTTCTTGTCATTTCCTGCTATATCTAATTATATAATGTAATTACTGTTCCATTAATAGAATCCCTAAACTGAATGGTAAATTTGATCTAATAATTTGAATTCAGTGGCAGTTTCCAGAGTTGATTTTAGAAATAAATTGAATTACATTTTTATAAATAATTGTTTATTTCCGTCCTTTGTTCTTTCATAGTTTGCATGTGGTAATAATAATTAACTGCATAATGACCTAAAGAACATTATTATTATTCAATTTCTGTTGACGAAGTGGCAAATGTCTCTTGATTTTTTTTATTTGGGTGAATTTCTTAAAAAATATATGTATATATATAAACATTTTAATCATTGTTACAGGTATAGTATCAGAAAACCCAATTATTTCGCCGGCTTTCAATAATGTATTGGTAAACAGCAGTTTAGAATTGGCGTGTTATACTAATAAAAACGTAAAAAGTACACAATGGGGAAGTTTAAATCACTTGGACACATTTTCGCACCTGTATCGTTCGGACAATGAAAGCTGTATAACAGATGGGTTCCTGGCTGACGATCGATATTTTGAAACGAGTTGCTATAGTAGCGGTACCTTCAAAATAAACATAAAACGTGTAAATTTAAGTAACCATGGTCAAGAATGGTATTGTTACGGCGATAATAGAAAAAGTAATATTGCTAATATTACTGTTCGAGGTAAGAATGTATCTTTTTTTGAATATTGTACAGCATTTTACTAGTCAAAACCCCGAAAATCAAGAAAAATAAAACAACACTGAAGTGAAGTACGTGGCAACATTTCACAGCTGTGACGCGGCGCCTAACACCTGCTATAAAGCCAGGGAACATACACATTTGAAATACAACTTAAAGATTCATAATCAATCGATTTTTCTTTTAAATGTAACGATTTCTAATGTTTGAATTGATAATATCATAGTACATTGTATGTATATATTTGCAGTTCCTGCCACGGAAGTTATCTTTGACTTTCATTCAAATGAAAGCATTTACATAAATGAAAATCAAATCCAAACTGTAAGTTGCAAAACCTCGGCGTGTTTACCAAAACCATCAATTAAATGGTACTTATGGAATCCCATCAACAATATAACCTACGATATAACAAACCATTCGACAGAATCATATATTCCAAAAGAAAACTGGCTGACAGTAGCTGAGAGTATTCTTCGGATTCTCCCGAACAGAACACTAGACCGCTGGTATTTATATTGCACAGTATGGACACAAGTGAAAGCAGCAGACATTTTCAGCAAAGAATTTGTACTGAACGTGGCATGTACGTATTTGCACTATGTATTTTAAAAGTTACATTTATTTTCCTTTTGTTCATATAAATAAGATTTATTATTTAAAGTCTAAAATGAAAGACATTAAACTGTTTAAACATTTGTGAATGTACTTATTATGAATTCAGATATTTTCGTAGGCATGCACTTTTATAGATTTGTCAAAAGGATATTTTTGTTGGTTCTCAAGTTCGAAAACTGCCTGTCTTAGCAAAAAAAGTAAAATGCAAATATTGTAATTTAAATAATTGTACACCAGAGGATGTGATCTTAAATTCGTGGTTAGGCTTATCGATGAAAACGATGCAAACAAGACTTTTTTTTTAGTGTCCCACAAAATATAATGATTTCTGCTCTAATGCGTTTTGATCATTTAAGATCCACCAGATGGTCCCCCAATGATAGCTGGCTACAGAAACGGCTCTACGATACAGGTTGTTGAGACCGAATCTGTTGAATTGACCTGTTCTGTAACTGGTGGAAAACCATTAGCGACCTTAAGAATGACCTGTTTAAACAGTAATTCAACACCAACTGTTACCAAAGAAACGACGGTGACTGTGTACATTGCACTACAAGTGAATCGCAATCATAGTCAATGCATATGCGAGTCTGATCATATCATAAGTGGTACACAAAAAACATACGTCATGCTCGATGTGTTGTGTAAGTTGAATTTCATTAAAATATTTTGATTTTTAAATGTCAATAACCATAATTGATAATTCATCTTTCACACCCACGATTTGGTAAATCTTTGAAATTACTTCTAAGAGAAAATAATTTAATTGTATTTACCTTCTCAGATGCACGTTCGAAAGTATTTTGCTGCTAAAGTAATCCTTATGTTAATATTAAACTGCTTATATGCACATTTATTAAGATAAGTGTGAACACTGCAGTAAGCCAACCGATTAAGTTGAGCTCAATTATACATCAGATGATATCAAGCGCCTTGAAGTAATTGGATCCGCAACGGAAATAGAACAAAGACTTCAGTATTGAAGTGTCGTAAGTTACAAGATAAAGATACTCCTTTTATTTATATCTACATGTATATGACACTTCTTCAGTTCAACCGCGTGAAGTCCGCTTCAACTTTGGAATGGAGGCAGGAGAAAGGTTGATTGTAAACCAAAATGAAGAGGTGACTATTCAATGTTTCGCTGAGTCTAATCCTCATCCAGACATTGTTATCAGGAATCAAAGAGATGAACAAATCAAAATGATGGAATATGCCACTCATGATGTTAAACATACTATTCCTAAAGTATCTTGTGCTGATGCAGGGGAGTATGTATGCTCTGCTAGAAATATGTTAACAAATGGACAAGGAGCGCTTTCAAGACTCATTCTCATTGTAAGATGTAAGTCTTAAAACTCCTATTCTGTCCGTTTTTATCTATCATTTGTAAATTTATCAATCTTTCGTTCATGTCTTTTCATCTATAGAAACCGTTGATCTGGAATTAGATCTAACATAAAAGATAAAGCTTTGGAAATATTATATCAATTCTCTTTCTTTAAGTAACATTGTACTAACTTGTATTAAAACATTTACGGATCATACTTACTTCACATAAAAAAATAATGAAGCACCAAGTTAAGTTTGCAAGAGACATGTATAAGTTTTAGATGACTCTTTGTGATTAAATATTTCTATATCGTTGATCATGTTTATAGGTCCTCCAAGTCCGTCAGCTGATACAGTAAAAGAAACAAAGATAACTGCTCTTCTGCATGTTGACGTCACGTTGCAATTTTTAGCTCAAGACTTTTTTGACGAGCGAAACAAAACAGCATTCGCATGGTATAAACAGAAAGTGCCATTACAAAATGACGGCAATAAGTATATAATATCATCTTATGGGTTACAATCTAACTTGATAATCAGAAATATTACATACTCAGATTATGGAAAGTACCAAGTTGTTGTCAGGAATTCATTTGGACATAATACCTACTATTATGAATTGCTGGAAAAAGGTAAAAACAATTAATGTTAAAAATTTACAATTAACATTTCCTGATAATCTACATTTCCCAAAAAGTAAAACATTTCAAAGTCACAAAGCACTCCGATGCTCCAAATTTTATGTTTCAAATGTTTCTGTTTGTTGTTCTGTAACAGTTTCGTAAACGGTAATTAATTATGGACTATATTGGTTAGTTATCTCTTGTGTTTGGCCAACTAGCAATTAGTAATGATAAAGTGGTTTTGATATTTGTAAGGAAATAAAATACCACCTTGCTTACGTTTTTAATATTCATCTCTGCTTTCTCCGCTTGATTTAGCAGTTAACATGTTTTAAATCAATTACGAACACATTATAAAACATATGTTTGCCTTTTGAAAGATCATTTACTTAAATACTTACGAAACACCACAATATAACTTACACTAGTAATTACCTTTTTAATAATATTTTATTGATGGGTAACTTATTACAGGTGCAAATGTAATCAATAATAACTTACCAATGTGAGATGGTAAATAACACGAAAGTGTTTAAGTTAATATATATAGGTTTATATTTTTTTCCAGCTCCTCAACAGTCCACTGAGCCTGTGACAGCCTCGACACTATTAAGGGTCGCAGTTGGTACATCTAGTTTCACATTTTTTGTGGTTGTATTGGCATTCTTCTATTGGATATATACCAGGTAATGAAAATGTCACCAAAGAGACAAGATAAATAAATAAATAAATGCAACAAGAAAACAAACAAACAACAACAACAAAATATACTTACAAAAACAGCAACAGAAATCCACAAAAGAAATACAAAAAAGCATCCCTCTACAAAAAAGCAGCAACAAATTAAAACACACAAAAAGACACAAAAAGATCCCAACACCAAATTATATGAAAATAAACCACTGTTTTCATGTCAAGTAATATTCAGGTCCGCATAAAAAAGTAAATTGCGTATTTCAACCACAGTCTATTTTACCTCGTCCGAAAGGTTGGTTACATTACATGTTTATCAAATAGATTTTTCTCTGTTATATTAAAGAACATGCGATAATAATTATATAAAGAACATGCGGTTAAAATATGTATGCAGCTATTTAACAGCTATTTCTATATGACTACTTATCTTTCATTTCAGACGTAAACGCACTTTGAAGATAAAAGACAGAAAAACAGCTGGTATGCAGTTTTAACGCATTCTTTAATCCGCACTTCAACTATCAGTCACAATGAAACAGGAAAATATAGAGATATCATATAAAGCTAGCTTAGTAATGATTAAAAGTTTATAGAATAAGAACAATACTAATTTGCCATTAACCAAATATTCTCTTGTGAATAAACATGACAAAGTCTTTTAAGCATGTCCTGACATTTTCACTCTATCAGAGTTTCATCTTACATTAAAACTTTATAATTCTACACAAACAAGTGTATAGTTAGGATTAAGTAAGTGTTATTATTCAAAATGTTTTCACGTTTGATTACTTTAAAAGTAATAGCGGAACGTAATATTTGAATGCTACAGTACAGTAAATCTATTTCGATTTCAATGCTTTTTTAAATTGTTCTTAAAATGTTTTGTTCTAGAGGTTATCACTGAATACCAGGCTACTACTGGGCATAATGACAATGTTGCAGAAAATGTTTATGAACAAATTGATGAGCAATACACTGCAAGAGGGGCATACATTGACATGCAAGGAATCAAAACGGATAAGGATACAAACTGTGAATATATAGATATGACAATACAAAACTTATCCGATGACAAAAATATGGATACTAACCAAATCGTTTTGTAAAAAACGTAGTCTATTTGTTTCACGTTTAATTCATATATATTTTTTCACATAAACATTTAAATCTGTAAATTTTCACAAGCCATATTGTACCTGTTGTACATAATATTTTTGAGATAATTCCCATTAATGATCTGTCCAGATTATACAATAAACTAAAACCCACCTCTCGTATGAACTGCTGTTTATTTTTAACTAGAAATAACTTAATTATAAGGTTGAATGAAGCTGATCGATATAATTATTTTTATTAGTGGATTTTAATTCATGGTTTACGTAATAAACAACTTTCTATTGGTCGCTTATAACTTTAGCGGTAAACATTTTTGTCTTTTTCACCTCTAAAGTTTTAGTTTAATCTGTATTTGGTTGGCAAGTAAAGTAGTTCACATGTTGAGATTCTAATTTGACCTTCTATCCCTCCCTATTTTGTGTGTTATCTCTATATCTAATTGTACAATAATGTTTTCATAAAGTGTATATTTCTACCTCAATGTTTGAATACTTGCTTGATGATGAATATTACTACTGTAATGATTATTGTGCTAGTATATGGATAGACAAAACTATTTTCATTCTGTTTGTTGATGATACAAATTGTCATATTTGTATTTGAAAAATGATGTGTTATAATATGAATATGATACATGTAATTTCAAGTTTACCTATATTATATTCTATCCGTATATTAACATCTAAAAGATCTAAATTTCTCATGTCTTCTCATTCAAATGAAAATTTATAATTCACATTTGTGAATAACATGGACCCTCTTGGATAACAATTCAGAAAAATACAAATGAATGTCATAGCTTCACTAGTCATTATTCTATTTTTTCCCAGTTTCCCAAATGTCTCTCCAAATGCATTTTCTTCTCTATCAATATTAAACAATATATGCTATTTTACCTAGTATATCTAATAACGCAGGAATGAGCGAGTTCGACTTCCGGAAGATGCAGGTTACCGTCGTTGTGATTGACCAAGGTCTTTCGTGTTGAACCTCTGATCTGGCATGTAAGGAAGTTATCAGTTCCTTGCAATATGAAGGCAACTAGTACAGGTAATGCCAAGGAACGATGCCGTGGCGAAACTGTGCTACAATCTACAAACATCACCACCAACACAGCAGCAATCTGTCATCACTGGCTCCTGTAATACGGTGTGTAATACAAGCGATGAAATCTTGAATAATACCATTCCGTGGGAAATGGAACACCAGCATAAACTCATATTGACATTAGTTTTAAATTATAAATAAAAAAAAATAAAGAATTGAAGTCTCAGATATAAGTCTTGTTATTTCCATTGACGTTTTTAACAAAAGTCTTGTCAACAATTTGAATGTATCTGTAACATTTAATTCTTAAAAAGAATGTGGCAGTCTTTTTATAATTAAAGAAGTTTTTATATTTTATCCTACACATTTTTCATCATCATTTTTTGGTCAATATTCATTATATTCTATTGAAATATACATAAATCTAATTCAGCCCAATTGGACAGCGAAAAAATTAGCACATAAAATCACCTAAATTGAAATACATTAAATATATCAAAATATATAGTAAATCCGAATTGTCATCTTAATAAAGATTGAGGTATGTTGTCCACAAGTAATATCCATCTGCACCTGAACTTATTGAATTTATTGAAATTTTGTCTCATGCCACTGAAATGTGGTCGTTTAACCACGTTTAGTCTGTATTTTGATTCAAAAGATAAATGATTTGAAATTTACATCTACAGTTCCAAAATTACAAAGTTTTAAGCAAAAATGTGTATTGTGTGTGTGTATCAGATCTTCAAATTATGTTTCTGCTTGACTTTATTAATAAAATATTGATGAAAACTTTAGTTGCGTTTAAAAAAGGAATATTGAAGAACGCTCAAAATGGCAACATAAAAATTGTTAAGGCTTTGTTTGATTCAGCAAGGTTATGGTATTTTGTGGTAAATGTTAGTTACCGGTTTGCCCCCTAGCACCGCTTTTAGCAGAATTAATATTTCAACATGAAAATATAGAAATTATGAATTAAGAAACATCCACGTTTGTGGGAAGGGCTTAATCAAATTTTGTAAGTACTTGTTGCCCAACTCATTTGCATTTTGATATATATTCATTATTTGTATAATATGTTTGTCAACATGTATTTAAGGCAATAAAATATGTTTAAACTAAAGAAGTCCACCGATGAGTTCATGCGGCATTTCTTGCAGTTGAAATACTTGTATATACATTCCTATATACAAAATCACTAAACATGAAACGATTATTGTATACTAGAAAGAGCAGAAACAGATAAATGAATGTTATTGAAATGAGTTGTTTTGCTTGCAAGTTTCTATTATTTCTATATTGGACAAGTAAGCAACAACTGATGGCCAGAACAAAGACAGCAGGACAGCTATGATCTCTTTTTGCACCATTAGTCATTAAAACAACATCTATTTTGCAAATCTGCTGCCTTTTATTACAAGGTAGAATGAACACAGTCTTTCTGTAGCTTTATAAAATTATTTGCCTGAACGCCTCAACATGCTGTAGGATTTAGATGTACACTATTAAAGACAGATTATATGTACAATTTAATTTTCAAAGCAAAACAGCACGTGCATTCAAACGTATCAACATATAAACCTCCAAAACATTTCCTCCAAAAAGATGCCTTGAAGAATTTAGACAAAATTATAACTGGAATATCTGTAATTGTTTTAATTGTTGGTATTGACCAATTTAGGACATTGTTTAAGAGGAAGAAAATTGATTCGGATTTCGATATCAAGGATGGGGCAAAATTATCATGTACTTCTGAAATATAACGATTTAACTAAGTCTGTTTAGGTCTTACTGTGTAAAGAATTGTTTTTTATATTAATAGAAAATGATCACAGCAAGGAATTTCCTCCTTTTTAAAAAAATCTTCGTCTGTGTATTTGTGATTCGAACATCCAACCAATCAGGGTACCCAATTTTTTTTAACAGCCCCTTTTCTCCACTTTACGATTCAATTAACAATTTATCCCTAATAGTTTTAAAATTCACTTGTCATCGCTGGAGGTCTGTACAACAAGAATTTCATAAGAAAACAGTTCCAGTCCTGTGAATCAAGAATTAACTCAATAAATAGTGAGTTTCAGATATTAATATTTGATTTTACATCTAAATTTTAGTTGTTTTTTGAACTACCGCCTGTTGAGGCCTTAACGGCGATATCGATACAAATACCTAAGTCACCATTCACCATTTGATGGATATGTTTGTATTACAGTTTTCATCTAAGTAAATCATTTCAGACATTAATGAGAAAATCGGAAGCTCAATTTAACTTCCTTGAAACTTAATATAACTTCTTTGATATTTGTTAAACAACTATTGTCCTATTAATAATTAGGAAATTAAATAACTTTTGAACATTACAAAAACATGTTGCGTCCAGGTTGCTGATTTATCATTTTTTGTGTATCATTAGATAAACATTTGTCGTAGAATTGAACAATTATAGTAAATCTTGATGTCTTTATTCACCTTATTTAAAATAATTTATTGGAACTGATTGTAACATTAGTGAGTAAATAAACATTTGAAGTGTATTCATATGTATCATTGTCCGTTTGGATTTGTGAACGTAACAAATTACTATTAAAGTTCTGTTTTATAATTAAATACTTTCTAAAAAAAAACCTTGCCAATTTCCATCTACAAATTGTTTAAAGTTTTGCAGCTACTTATATCAAAACCAGTATTGTGACATGCATATTGCCATGTTAATTTTTAATGTATTTTTGCTTACTACATGTATTTGTACCGGGCTCGGGCACCAACCGTTCCTCGGGACTCTGCAGACGTTATAACACGGAAAAACGTGCGTTAACCCTATAGTATGCATGTACATTTGATTTAATGATTTAAATTTGGTAACAATTTCCAGAACTGATTTTAGAAAAGGGTTAAATATAATTAACTTTTTTTCATAAGTAATCGTTTTTAATTTTTGCTTTTGAAAGGATATGCATAAACCATATCCATGAAAACCATATTTGATAATTTCAAAATGAATATTATCAAAATATATTTTTTAGCTTTTAATTCCGGAAATAAGGCCTGTTTAGTGCAAAGCATAACTTAAATTGATGAATAACTTCATTTGAAATTTAATCAAAATGATTAAACTTTAACACCTACTTCAATTAATTCAATTTACCGACACCAACTAATATACATTTTTGTTTGAAATAAATAATACTATCGCAATTTAACATTGATCTTTTAACTTATTTTTTTAGCTCAAGACCGCATGTATATAATGAGAAATTTGTCTGAAATGGTGTCTACCAATGTGAAAAAAATGATATTCAAGTTAATATTAAGGAACTTTCATTTAAACATTATTTTAGCATAAAATAAAAAAGAAAAATTAGTTTGTTTCCTGTGTAATATGTATACAATTTGTATGAACAATGTCTCCAAAGCTCACTCGTTGAAATGAAATTTCTTCGTACACGTAAACAAACTAATATAATCTATATATTCGTCTTATCTTCTATCAAAGTTCGCAAGTGCTAAATATAATTAAATCAGTAAAAACCGAATGTACATTATTACTGACAACCTTAGAAATAAAATAGTTTTACAAGTTTGGTGAAATAGATTGCCATATTTTTCTGTACACAAATCGGCTCTTGACATTTTTTATTTGGATGAATTTTTTAACCGTAAACAGCAGATTCATATAATTTATTTTTTTAAGTATATATAAACACATTTTAATCAAATATTACAGATATTGTACCAGAAAACTCAATTATTTCGCCAGCTTTCAATGATGTATTAGAAAACAGCAGTTTGGAATTGGCATGCTATACAAACAAAAACATAACTGTTACACAATAGGGAATTTTAAATCACACGGGCTCATTTTCACACATGTATCTTTCGGACAATTGGGGCTGTATAACAGATGGGTTCCTAGCTGACAAACGATATTTTGAAACGAGTTGCTATAGTAACGGCACCTTCAAAATAAACATAAAACGTGTAAATTTAAGTAACCATGGTCAAGAATGGTATTATTTTACGAGAATAGAAAAAGTAATATTGCTAATATTACTGATTGAGGTAAGAATGTATGATTTTAGTACAGTGAAATTTGAGAAAACCGGACGCTGAGAAAATCGGAACTCTCTAAATACCGGACGAATAATTCAGTCCCAAATTTTCCGTTTTTCAAACTATTGTATTTAACATTGGCAATACCGGAATCTGTAAAAACCGAATATCGGACGGTTGATTGGGAACTACAAAGTTAATTATATAGACAATTACCCTGACAATACCGGATGCCGAATGTGTGAATAACCTTGTGTACTTATCAATTGGTTGTGTCTAATACGACGGAACAATGATTGTCTGATTTGTTATAATGTCTCTCTTCAAAGGTTAATTTATTGAAATGTATAGATGTTACCGTTTTATATAAATGCCAAAATGCACAAGGAATTGATCAGTTAAAATCAGACTGAATAAAAATAGAGTATTTTTCTACTTTGTTGCTTTTTGTATATTCATTTCCTAAAATGACAACGGAACGGAAACGACATTTATCGGCGCTAAGTTCTATTCCATGGCTGAAAAGAATTCGACGAGAGCTGTCTACAAGTGACAAAGTTAAATTAATTAAAAACATTGAAACTTTGCCTAGACCTACATAAAAATCTGATCAATATGTTATTATTATAAACAAACAATAAACTATGTTGGTTAAATCATTATCTATTACCCAAAAGTAAACATATGCGGATGCACTCGAACTTGATCTTTATGAGGTACATTTTGTAACTGCTGTTCATTTAAATCCAAACTTTTATTGTATTTATATGCAATAATGGGACAAAAACAATTAAAACATATTTTCTTGTATTTTTATAATTTCTTAATTAAGCAATATACGTACACATAATCTTGAAAATACAAATATACAGCATCCTTTGTAAGTCATTGTTCGGTTATAATATAAGATCCTGAACAGCTGAAGGGAACATTTAGAAAACCGGACCGCTGAGAAAACCGGACAAAACCATAAGTCCGAAAGCCGTCCGGTTTTCTCAACTTTCACTGTATATAGTACAGCTGTAGACTAGTGATAACGGTCAAGAAAAATAAAATGTGTGAATTTTCATTGAAATTCATTGTCAAGCTAATTCATTTAGATAACTATCTGGTGAATCTTTCTTATTGAAATATACATTTATTGAAAGTTAACATATTTCTATAGGACAGTAGCCAAAAGGTTGGTTAGATTGTTTGATATTTCATACCATGCTACGGCTCTTTTATTTTCTATTTAACCTCTGATATAGCTTTTGTTCTACTTTAAAACCTTTACTGATAATTCATCTTTCGTATGTATCAACAATTTGACAACTTTTTTTTTAAAAATTACCTGTAAGAGAGAGAAAAAAATATATTCTATTCCCAGATGCTTGATTGAAAATATTATGTTCAAGTAGTATAGTGTCGTAAGTTACACGATACAGATGCCTCAATTAGTTATATCACCATGTTTCGTTCCAAACGCTTTGTTAGAATAGTGATATTATATGCGGAAGAAATTGTGTCCTCTACATTCCTTTTAAGGCATATATTACTGAACAATAAGATAATCGCTCCGTCTAAATTTATGACACTTTTTTACAGTTCAACCGCGTGGAGTTCGCTTCAACTTCGGAATGAAGGCAGTAGAGAGATTAGTTGTAAACCAAAATGAAGAGTTGACCTTTCAATGCTCCGCGGAGTTTAATCCTCCTCTAGACATTGTTATTAGAAATAAAAGAGATGAAGAAATCATAGTGATGAAAAATACAAGTTCTGTTCAACACATTATTCATAGGGTATCTTGTGCTGATGCAGGAGAGTATGTATGCTCTGCTAGAAATATGTTAACAAATGAACAGGGAGCACTATCCAAACTCGTCCTTATCGTGAGATGATAGTTTTAAAACTCCTATTCTGTTCTATTCTATTATGGAAGGTACCGAGTTGTTGTCAGGAATTCATTTGGACATAATACCCACTATTATGAAGTGCGGGAAAAGGGTAAAAAGTTGTTACTGTTTTGATTCTTCAAACATCAATTGAAAATTCTTAAATATCTACTTTTTCTAAAAAGTAAAATATTTCAATGCAGTAAAGCACACGATGCTATGATTTTCGTTTCTCAAAAATATATGATTGACATGATTGATGTTCTGTTACAATTTCTTATTTTTGTTTGTTTGGGTTTTACGTCACACCGACACAGTATATTCCTCGTAGGAGCAGCTCAAGCAAATTTGGATAAATAACGGCAAAGCATGTGATGAGCAAACACATGGGGAAAGATTTGCTTTACATATGTTTCTTTTGGTTCCTAATTAACTCAATCAAGTATATCTGATTACCGCCCTTGTTAAGTCTATTTGCGTAAGAACGCGATTTCCTCTGTAATATATATCGATCTAAATATTGTGATGTTTTTGGGGGAAGGAAAGATAGCCGTTGTTCGAACCTAGAGGGAAAACTCCGACCTGTGGGTGCCTTGATAGAATAATTTCAGATAAACTACAAAGAGCTTGTTTTAAGAACAAAAATTATTTATTTTATTAAGTAATCTAAAGATGTGTAGTAAGATGAAGTAGAATCTATAAATAAATTATCAATAAAATGATGACTGTTAGTTATTGTTAGTAAAAGTAAATGTAAGTAAATGTTAGTAAATGTTAGTTACATTCGTTCCATCATGAACTCCAATTCAGAAAATAGAATCTACTAGGTGATGAAATGAAGCTCAGCTCTTGTAAGTTGTATCTAGTGTAGATGCCTAGTATCAACTTGTCGTAGATCTATAACGTTTAACTGAGGATTCCTTTTAATTAACCAAGTAAATAGAAACTAAGTAAAATGGTTAGACTTAAATGATCTCTCCAGTGACCGAATCCAGTAAGCCCAAGGATAACGCCGTACCGGCAATATATTGAAATTCCCGGCGTTAGGAACTTGTATATTATTGGGCACCTAAGCACAGCTAACGCTCTCATCCACTCAGATTGCGGAACGTCCATTTTGGCGCCAAAGCCCTCCATATCGACCAATGGCTAGCCGTTCGACTCATACATCTAAAAGAAATAGATCCGAACAGGCCACGACGATTTCCAATAAAATCCCCATACCTGGTTGTCTAAGTAACCGATATTATTAACCTAATTTAGTACTTTTTAACCTTAACATTCTGTTCTGGAATTGATTAAGATTTTAGACAAAACCAAACATGCACTGTGACGTCACTATTGACACAAAATGAAAGTAAATTAAGTTTGCATTTCCTTATAGAAATAAAGAGTCACCATGCATGTCATCAAATATTTGTAAAAGGTATATTGTCACTGAAATATATAGTTTGTATACATGCATTTATTGCATTATATCCGTTAATTATAAATATGATAATACGAAATGTCATTAGTTTTCACGATCTGTCAAATTTTGCCGGTGTTTTAAAAGCAGCTTTCTCTGCATACCCTGAGTATCACATACCCAGTAAAACTTATCAATGTTATGGTTTTAAGTGTTTAAAGCATTTGTAATTTATAACGATGTGTTACATGTGTAAGAAAGAGTTCTATAACTGTAAACAAGGGGGGTATTCATATTACACTCTCCCCACCTTAGTTAAAGTAATCCTCCTGGATTACAAACTTCAGTTCCTTAGAAATAACTTTAAAAATAAGAAACAAACAATTGTACACATTTAAAACCATCTAAAAATTTGTAAAAGGCAAAAATTTTAAACATATAAATTTAAATTACAGTAATGTAAAAACAATAAATACTTTTGAGCAGAATCAAATTTCAGGCAAATGTCTCAGGGTAATTCAAAGGGAAAAAAAATTAATAAACCAATTTATATTAGTTTTTTTTACCCCCACCATTCTAAAAACAACATCATTTTTTTATAAAATTTCAAAAAACTAACATTTTTTTTTAAAATTTTCCCACTTTCACGCCCTTTCCTCCAGTATTTTGATTATATAAACCGTTCGGTCCAACGCTGGGGGTTTTTTTCCAAGGATTTAACATAGCCCAGGCTTTTGTTGAGTCGGGGATCTAAACCTTTTAAAATTTCCCCTTTAATACGAAAGTTTATATTCCCCCAAATTTTGTCGGGAAAATCTTTAAAACTTTCACAAAGTACTTGCCAAGGGTTTAAACCTGGCCGCCCAAGCATTTAAAAAGGAAAATTTTTGTCACATAGTAATTTGTTAGATATGACCGGGAATTCAACATTATTTTTCCTTTCCAGACATAACGCCATTTGTTCCATCGCAAAGAGCCGATTTTCCGGTGTCAACTCCCGCCAATTCCTGGGTGGCCACTTCATCTGTACATCGCCAACGTCTATCTTAATTTCTCTCGACCAAATCCTTCTACCAGGGGGACAAAGAGGCATCACACCAGTCAACAAAAGTTTCGTTGCCCTGCTTCGCAATGTTGATGGTGAATCGTTTAATTCACTGACAGATGATGACCCTGATGAAGAACTACTTGTTGAAAACAAGTCTTCGTCTTCCGGGCTCCCATGTCCTACTTTTATGTCCCGTATACCTCCCCTAGCACTAACTCCTTTGTCCTGTTTATCCTCTTGCTCTTTATCCCCCTTACTGCCTGATTCACTTTCAGCGCTCCCCAAAACGTCTCCCCTAATCCCATCACCTATACTGTCCTTTGATTTAACGTAAGTCCCTGTGTTTAACTCTTTTTCCAAATCGTCTGAGTCAAGTATAGGAAGAAACTCCCCTGTCCTATAATTTAAACGCATTGATATGTCTACATTTTCTCCAACAGTCAAACAATTCCCGTCTCCTTCCTCTGGTCCAACTCTGCCTTTTTCTGTATCCTTCATTTCTCCTAATAATGACTTAACCGCCGCTTCTGTTTCGTTCCTTTCCTCAACCACTTCACAGTCGAACTCATAAAATCTTCTGTCTTCTGTCTCTGGTCGGTCTGCATCTCCCCTTTCTGATAGTGTTATGATTTCTTTTTCTACTTTGTCCTTCGTTTTTGTTCATGTCAGTATCCATTTTCTCTTGTCTGTCTACATCTAATGCACGTTGTTTATTGTTGTTTGCGTCTTTTTCCCAATGTTTTCTGTTCTTTATCAACTTTTTCTAATGTCTTTTGTTTCTTGTTAATGTCATTTTCTATGCAGTCTGTATATCTCTTTTCTCTTCCACTGTTGCAAGCTTTCTCTTCCTTTCTATTTGTCATTCTACCAGGCCGTTCACTACTAACTGATCTACCCCTACGATCCTTTTTCTTTGAACACTCCTCCCCATCCTTCCAACCTTTGTTTAACCTGTCTAACCTTTCCTTTTTATCATCAAATCCCTCTGCCCAATTTCGGAACTCCTTCCTGATAGAATATGCCAATTCACTTCCATATGCGGTAACCGACTCAGTGACCTTTGCATAATCTATAGGCTTCAATGCAAAGTAAAACCCTGCCTGACGGGAAAACATCTCTTTGCTCCTCCATGCCTCATCAGTGTGAGCACTACCCCTGACATGACTTTCTTAGTCTGAGATTCTAGTGAATGTCTTCTTCTTTCCGGGACACCATGGACATACTACTGTCAGACACCGGTGGGCAGAACCAATAAGATGCGACTTCAGAGCTCCCCAGGTGCGGAACATCGCAGGACAAAGCCAACATGATTCCCTGTAAAGAACGCCTTCTGTTAGTTCTGTTAGTTATATATTTTCATTTCTTTAAGGACACACAATGAAACATTTATTGATTTAATTTTGTAACTGCAAAGAAAAATTTAGGTTGGCCACCCACAGGAGTTGCGTCGAAGACTATACCTGCTCTGCTAAAAAAAACGCGGAAGACTCCGTTGGGAAGAATTTATGTTTCCGATATTTTGTATTTATTCAAGTTTTATAAAAAGGTTTTTATGTTTACATATGTTGCCTGTTGAACATAAATAAAAATTTAACACAATTTTACATATGTTGTCTGTTGAACACATATACATTTATTTTATTCATTTACTGTTATGTTTTACATAGTTCTATGCATAAATTAACTGTGATATTTTTTATTTTTACATTTGTATTGTTTATTAACATATATCTATAACACAAAAATCAAATTCGCGAACACGTGACCAATTCCTTAAACTATCTATCCTACATGTCATAACGTTGTTTCTCCTTTCTAACCCAACTAGGGACCTTATTACCACAGTAGGGATATAATCTATCAATGTGACAAGCTTTTGGTTTGCCAGTTGAAGTCCGTTTTACCATACAAACCAAATCGTCTACAGTCCTTGTCACTATGAACGGTCCTTTCCATTTGTTGACGAGTTTCGAGCTGACTCCGACTTTCCTCGTTGGGTCGTGTAGCCAAACCAACTGCCCTTGCGAATATGCATTGCGTTTCCGAGATTTGCAGTCATAATGCTTCTTTTGGTATCTAGCTGCAACCTTAGAATTTGTCCCTAGCAATATCATGACATGTTTTCAGTTTGTCTTCAAGATTCAACACATTCTCACTTAAGTCTGAATTGTTTGCCGGGTTTAGGACGGCCGATAAATTCATGCATTGGTAACGTGATCTCTCGACCAAACACCATCTTATTTGGACTAAATTTTTGAACTACTACGCGGAGAGGCTACGGTAGGCCATCATTACTTGTTGAAGGTAAGTGTCCCAGCAATTTTGTTGATCAATGCAATATGCTTTCAGCATCGAAATCAGAGTTTTATTAAAAACCTCAATTAATCCATTGGCCTGGGGCCGTATGGATGTAGCATGTGTCTTTTCTATATCTAAAAGCTTGCATAGTTTTTCCATAAGTTTCGACTCAAAACATTTTCCTTGGTCCGTATATATCTGTAAAGGCACGCCAAATCGGCATATGTACGTTTCAACAAGTGCTTTAAGCAACCGTTTTTTGATTCTATGTCATGTAAAGCAACACTTTCAGTCCATTTTGTGAACCAGTCAGCCATGACAAGGATGTACTTGTTTCCATTTGTTGTAACCGGAAGTGGTCCAAGAATATCCATCATTGGCCTCTCTCCTGGTTCCCCAACAAAGTATTGTCCAAGAGGAGCCTTATTCGCAGTTCTTGATAATTTAGCTGCTGCACATTTGTCACATTCTTGACAATATATTTTAACAGTATCAACCATCCCCGGCCAATAGAATGATTGTCTGATCTTTCCAAGTGTTTTCTCTATGCCGAAATGTCCATTGCATTTGGTGTCGTGGTGATGTCTAATAACATCGCGTTGTCTATCCTTTGGGGTAACCAGTTGATAAATTTGGTCTCCATCGTCAGTTTCGAATCTCCGATATAGCAAGTCGCAAACTATTTTCAATCGATCCCATTGCCGCCATAATGTTTTCAAATCAGAGGAATAAGCAGAAATGTCAGTCCAAGCTGGTCTTTGTTTACCATCCTGCAAAGGCCATTTTTATCTTCGCTATGTCTAAATCTTGAGTTTGGCTGATTGATAAATCAATAGGGTCCCATCCGTCTAAGAGAAAGTGATTGTTTGACAATGCAGATGATGCATCCTGTGTCTGACTTCTGGTAGAGATCCTGATATGTTCTTCCTTGTATTCATCTGACGGTTTGTTATATTTTTCTCAAATCTTGTATCTCTTGTTGGTGTTTACATGATTTACATGGCCTTCTGGAGAGAGCATCTGCATTTGCATGGCTCTTCCCACTTCGGTGTACTACGGTTAAATTATACGTATTCAATTCCTGTAGCCATCGAGCAACTTTGTCCTGTTGGAACTTTTAAGGATCTCATCCAACTGACAGCTGCATTATCAGTCCTTAAAAGTACTTCCTGGCCATACAGATAACTGTGGAAATGTTTCAAAGCCACCACAACTGCTAGCATTTCTTTTCTGGTTACACAGTAAGACTTTTCATGCACATTCATGGCTTTGCTCAAATACGCAATTACTCTTTCTTTACCATCTTGCATTTGACTTAGCACAGCTCCAGATGAAGTATCAGAAGAATCAGTATCAAGTATAAATGGTTGCACCTAATACCGGATATGCAAGTATAGGCGTTGTAGTCAGTGCATTTTTCAACTGGTCGAATGACTCCTGACACTCGTCTGTCCAAATAAACCTACTGCTTTTCTCACAGAGCTTTGTGCAACGGTCTAGCCACGTTGGAAAAGCCTTTAACAAACTTTCTGTAATAAGAAGCTAACCCAAGAAAACTGCGCATTTCCTTGCTGTTCCTTGGTGTAGGCCAATCATGCACAGCCTTGATTTTCTCAGGGTCCGTTTCAATGCCCTCCTCTGATACGACATGGCCAAGGAAACGTACAGATTTTTGGAAGAATACACATTTTGATGGTTTAAGCTTTAGTTTTGCCTCGCGAAGTCTTTCGAAAACATGCTCTAGACGACATAAACATTGATCAACCGATTCCCTAGGAGTTATTATATCATCCATGTATAGAAGAGATTCAACCCACTGAATTCCTCTTAAAACTGTTTCCATTAGCCTTTGGAAAGTCGATGGTGAATTAACAAGACCAAATGGCATGACACGAAAATGAAATAAACCTTGGCTACTTGTAGAAAATGCTGTCTTCATTTTGTCTTCTTCTTCCATTTCTATTTGCCAGAAACCACTACAAAGGTCCATGGTGTTGAACCATTTGGAACCAGAAAGAGAATCAAGACAATCATCTACCCTTGGTATTGGATATGCATCTTGAACAGTCACTTCATTTAGTTTTCGGTAATCAATGCAGAAATCTAGTTGAGTCGTCCTTTTTCGACACAAGTACAATTGGCGAGGACCAAGGGCTGTTCGAAGGCTCGATTATTCCTCTGTCAAGCATTTTGTTTACTTCCTCAGCTTCAGTATCACGTTTTCCATAAGGTTGTCTTCTAACTGATTGTCGTATGGGTGGGGAACTTCCTGTGTTGATCTTATGTTTTACCATATTAGTACATCCAAGGTCATCAGAACCTTTCGAAAAGACGTCTTGATATTTGTAGAGCAATGTCGCAATTTTTTCCTTGTCACTTTCTTCCAAATGTTCTTTCCCTTTGTCAAACATTGACTTAATATGATCCGGTAATATATCTTCCTTGGCTTTTACTTGATCTTTACTCCCGCTGTACATTATTGCAGCACATGTAAGAGTTTTGTCATTGTCAAAATCCATGTCTCCTGATACTTCCTGTGTAGGATAACACTGACCTATTTCTTGACCACTTTTCAAAGTATACACAGCCTCACTCTCATTCATAACTCCTATGAATGCCTCAATTTGATGGGGATCTAATAATCCATTGATTATCTTTACTTCATCTATTTGTTCACCTTTTGTCTCACTTATAAACGCAACTTCAGGAAGCATTTGGTGTCTCAATATTCTCACTGGCACTAGCATGCATGTGTTTGATGGCACTTGTATGTCACTTTTAACAGTAACTCTACATACTAATGTTATCATCCTTCATCATCCTACATTGTATTTTATGTCCACTTCTAGTACCAAGCTCCAGCGTTTCAAGGTCCCAATGTTTGATATTTCCCATTATAAAATCTTGTCCCAAGAGGCCTGGCAATGATATATCACATACGATAAAAGTCATTTTAACTCTGAATGGTCCAAACCCTATTTCTACCTCTATATGGCCATGTATTGTGATATTTGTTCCATTCACTGATTGAACATTAATTTTCCTTCTATCAAGTGGATATGTTTCCTTCTCCTTTCCCATTGTCATTTTGTTTTTTTAGGGTATCCAAAAAAATGAAAAAGCGGCCCCCTTTTCAAGCCGAAAGTCTATTTTGATTTTTTGTTTATGGAAACCCCCATATATAAATCCATTTTTCCCGAAAAATTTTTTAAAATCCTACCTGGGCCCAAATTTTTAATGGCAAAGTTTTTTTTGTTTTAATGTTGTTTTACAATGACTATCGATTTCCCCCCCATCCAACCTTTGCATCTCAAAAGACGCTAACGAATGACGGGTTGAAAATTTTCCCCCGGTTCCTTAGGGGGGGTTTTTTTGTAAACCAAATTTTTTGAGGGCATTGTCTCCAAAAAAGATCCCTGGCCCCACATGTAAAAACCCCAACTGTCCCTTTTTAGGCTTCCTATCAAGTTGTTCTTCAAGTTTAACCAGGCCCGTGCCTCTATCCCTGTTTAGGGCTCCTTTTATTAGTCTAAGTTCTTGTGTCTTCTTTTAAGTCTGCAGGTTTGACATCTCTAAATTTTTCTGAGACTACACCTCTTATCAATCCTGCAGAGGTGGTTGCTCTCCCTAGAACATCCTCGTATCGTTCGACTATTTCTACTGCTTCCCTGATTGTTCTACAACTTTTATCCATCAGTCAACACCTCATTTCCGGTGAAAAGCTCTTGTAGAAATGCTCCAGTGCTAGCATCTCTTGCGCCACTGGGTCAAGTGACACATATTCTTTTTGAGCATACAGCCTAATCTCATCTCCAAACTCGGCAACTGTTTCATTCTTTTGTCTAGTACGTGTCTGAATTCTGGATAGCCATCGGTTAGCCTGTCTTTTGCTACCAAATCTTTGTTCCAGATGATTAGTAAGAACTTGGTATGACCTTTTTTCTTGATGTGCTAATGAGCTATAATGAAGCCTGTCCTGTCCCTTAAGTGCTGTTGCTAGGTAAAGAAGCTTCTCTTTGTCCGACAATTCTGCAAGTTCTGCACAGTCCTCAAAGTAGACCTGGTATAAATCCCACTCTTCTTCCCCAGTATAAGGATCAGGCTTTATATTTGGTGCATGGCGTCGTACATAATGTTCCCTGGGAATGTAGGCATGGTCTCTTTCATCACCCACATCTACAGACTCATCATTCCCACCTGGATGATTCATATTGAAATTGACTTCAGAATCCGAATCATGTTGATCTGCCATACTTGAAAATAATTATTTGAGCTTCTGGTAAATAAAGATATGAAGAAATAATAAAAGAAAATACAAAGTTTTTTTTGTTTTTTTTTTAAGTCTCGTGTATTATGTAAGATATGCTTAATTCGGATCCGAACAGGTGTGCGGAAATGAACGGGTGTACGGCGTCGAACAGGTCCACGGACCCGAACGAACAGGTGTACGGAATCGAACGGGTGTACGGCGTCGAACAGGTCTACGGATCCGAACAGGTGTACGGAATCGAACGGGTGTACGGCGTCGAACAGGTGCGCGGATCCGAACAGGTGCACGGCGTCGAACAGGTCTACGGATCCGAACAGGTGCACGGAATCGAACGGGTGTACGGCGTCGAACAGGTGCGCGGATCCGAACAGGTGTACGGAATCGAACGGGTGTGTGGATCCAAACAGGTGTGCGACGTCGAACGGGTCTAGAACCTTTTACTCCAAAGTTATCTCTCTAGCTGTGTTCTTCTATCCTCCCAGTCCAAAATTATCTCTACGTCCAAAATTGGTCCGTAATTTTGAAAATATATCAAAATCCCACTTCTCTGACACCAGTGTGATGTTTTTTTTGGGGGAAGGAAAGATAGCCGTTGTTCGAGCCTAGAGGGAAAACTCCGACCTGTGGGTGCCTTGATAGAATAATTTCAGATAAACTACAAAGAGCTTGTTTTAAGAACAAAAATGATTTATTTTATTAAGTAATCTAAAGATGTGTAGTAAGATGAAGTAGAATCTATAAATAAATTATCAATAAAATGATGACTGTTAGTTATTGTTAGTAAAAGTAAATGTTAGTAAATGTTAGTAAATGTTAGTTACATTCGTTCCATCATGAACTTCAATTCAGAAAATAGTAGGTGATGAAATAAAGCTCAGCTCTTGTAAGTTGTATCCAGTGTAGATGCCTAGTATCAACTTGTCGTAGATCTATAACGTTTAACTGAGGATTCCTATTAATTAACCAAGTAAAAAGAAACTAACTAAAATGGTTAGACTTAAATGATCTCTCCAGTGACCGAATCCAGTAAGCCCAAGGATAACGCCGTACCGGCAATATATTGAAATTCCCGGCGTTAGGAACTTGTATATTATTGGGCACCTAAGCACAGCTATCGCTCTCATCCACTCAGATTGCGTAACGTCCATTTTGGCGCCAAAGCCCTCCATATCGACCAATGGCTAGCCGTTCGACTAATACATCTAAAAGAAATAGATCCGAACAGGCCACGACGATTTCCAATAAAATCCCCATACCTGGTTGTCTAAGTAACCGATATTATTTACCTAATTTAGTACTTTTTAACCTTAACATTCTGTTCTGGAATTGATTAAGATTTTAGACAAAACCAAACATGCACTGTGACGTCACTATTGACACAAAATGAAAGTAAATTAAGTTTGCATTTCCTTATAGAAATAAAGAGTCACCATGCATGTCATCAAATATTTGTAAAAGGTATATTGCCACTGAAATATATAGTTTGTATACATGCATTTATTGCATTATATCCGTTAATTATAAATATGATAATACGAAATGTCATTAGTTTTCACGATCTGTCAAATTTTGCCGGTGTTTTAAAAGCAGCTTTCTCTGCATACCCTGAGTATCACATACCCAGTAAAACTTATCAATGTTATGGTTTTAAGTGTTTAAAGCATTTGTAATTTATAATGATGTGTTACATGTGTAAGTAAGAGTTCTATAACTGTAAACAAGGGGAGGGGGTATTCATATTACAATGTAATTAAAATTAGCTAGAAGTTGATAAAACACATAGATACTTATGTGTTTCTCAAAATATAGAGATACATCAAATAGGAGGAAGAATATCCGCCTACAAAACGTATCATATAGACAATATCAAACTATTTAAACGCTTTCCGCCACAGACACTTTGGGTGTGGAGCTCAAAATGCCTTTAAAATCCAAATAAAATGTATATTTGTCAATCCCAGCACATGTTCTGATCAATTTTACCAAAAAAAATAATATAAGCCGTTTTGAAAAAATCATTTTTCAACATCTATAATAATACACAAGATGAAAATGTTCCTCGGAATAAATATATATGATCAGTACATGTGCTTGGATTGACAAATATACATTTTATTTGCATTTTAAAGGCGTTTTGAGTTCCATACCCCAAGAGTCTGTGCTTTCCGCGTGATTAGTTATTGCTTATAATGGACAAATCATTTCTAAAAGAAAAGCGTCAAGGTTATCATCGTTAAAAACCGGATAAGGATATAATTAAATATCACAAATAGCTATGTAAGTATATCCCTTACACTCTCGTATGTATCATGCACAGGCCGTTATGAATACTCTGAATTAAGGTAACAGTATACATCCATTTTATATTTCAACGGTGTAAAATCTTGTCTTAACTCTGTGATTAAAACAAAACTAGTGTTTTTAGAAAACTTCCACCCAATCTTGAATTTTGAACCTCAACCTAAGCGCTCTTGATGCTGTTGATTCTGTTCAGTTCAGTCAAATGCCTATTGTATTTCAATATTCAAAGCCTCTCCCTTTGATTTTTGGACCATTGGTAATTTAACGTTCTTTTACACTTTGCCTTTAAATTCCATTGCGTCGAAAAAGAGCACAGGGAAGGTTTATACAGAGACACCCACTAAGGTTCAACCTGCATGTGCTTACAGGCACACCTTGAAGTTTATAGGGCTGTGAGAAAAAATACCAAACAACATCTGCAAACATAAGAAGCTAATTTAAGAAAAGAGTAAACTCTGTTTTTTCTTATCTGTTCAGCTTTTATTAAGAAAAACAATATGGCTAGCTTATTAAATGTATTTACTGTACTATAAGTTTTAAAATGTTTCAAAGTTATTTATTATTATTCCAGTACCTTAAAGCTTAAATGCCAATGAATAAACATAGCCCAGTAAATTATGACATTGAAATAACATATTACAACACTTCCATCGGCATTTTATTTATATCCATTTTATAATGTCCAGAATTAATGTACGTATCTAGTAAACAATCTTGATACTTAATAACAATATAAAAAACAATATGATGTAGCAAAAACAGGGCACTATTCAGAGAAAGGCAGTTTATACATATTTATGTTATTAACGTGAGAAAATAAAAGGTCGCTTCTAGGGAATTTAGTAGAAAGTTTCATGGCTTTACATTAAGATTGTGTCAAGCATACATTTTTAATTCCTTTGTTTCATCCTTATTGTTTTACTTTCAGATGAATTGCAGTAGTTTTTGTAAAGTCACTATAATTCAATTGAATACAGAAAATAACATCATTTTAGCTTGTGTATTCCCTTTTAAGTTTTGAACAGGAATTAATCATTTCATAATGTTATTCAAGAGAATTATTCAGTAAAGTTATCACTTCAAGAAATATATAGATATTTGATTTTGACATACATGTACAACTTTACTTAAATGTGAGTTTTAAATCTACTATTTTACATTTTCCTTTCAAAATACGTCTTGTTTGTTGGTGATTCTATATGGAAGAGAAGTTATAGGTGAGTGTCTGCTTAAAACATCAGCATGTTCGATAACTAAACAAAAGGATAGCATCAAATTGTAATAAACATATACATTCCGTTAAAATAGTTTGAACAAGAAACGTAATCCAGTGTTAAAAATAATTTTATAGATTTTGTCATTTGATTTAACGAACGATCCACAAATAAAAAGGCTTCAAATTGATAGCATTCTTTGCTTTTTGATCCTTTGCATGCGTGTTATAAATTTTATCTTAACACCGATCGTCCGCCATTTTGGAGGGATATGAAAATATTGAGAACAAAGGAATACAAAGTAAAATCGAGGTATTATGATAAATAAAGACTTATTGACGTAAAATTGTCAACAGTTACATCAACAGCAAATAAATTAATGTATAGAGACAGATTAAAAACAGTTGAACGGGTAAGATATGATAATCGGGAGATGTGAAAATAATCATTACGAACTGAAATCGTTTTCCGAGACCAACTGTAACTTTCCTAAAATTGTGAACTATCTGATTTTTACACATAGTCCGTACACAGCCGATGATTTGAAATGTAATAAAGAGTTAGATGCTTATAATTAATTCCTGTATGGATGGGTCTCATGTTTGACAACAACAAACATGTTGTGAGAGAGAAATGTTTTGTTATAACATCGTTGATATTTATCTTGGAACATTATAAATATAAGTAATGAATAGTGATCGTGAATATTGCTTGCATATTAAATGGTATTTATTAAAACAAGTTATATTTTGTAACATTTGGCCAGAGACACTAGATACCACAATATATTATTATATGTCTCTGGTCATGGCAAATTCTTTTTTTTTACATACTGTATGAATTTGTGTGTGTCTTGCATGCATGTTCTGTGATATATAAGTCCATGAAAGGCGTCAAGCCACACACGTATACATATAAGTGCCTTTGACATCTTATAATTTTAATAGCAATTTAATTTAATATATTAAACCTAATCTCTATGATTATTTACATTTTAGGTTTTACATTCCCAGAGATTGCGAGAAAAGTCGTCGAATGCTTTGGTTACAACAGAGTCAAATGGGAAAATTCTTGCTTCACATTGTGACTGCATGACAGGTATTGGTGAAGTATGTTTACATGTAGCCTCCATTCTGTTTACCATTGTGGGGACTGGTCATGTGCGCAACTCTCGAACTGTGACACAGGAGCCAGCTTACTGGCTACTTTCCACATCAGAAAGAAAGTGAATTATTCAGAGACCAGGCACATAAACTTTACTTCAGCGAAAACACTTATAAAACATTTGAAACTTTTCGCCAAGGCTCGTTCCCGATGGAACCGATCACCCTCGGGTTGGGATTTCCCTATCCTCTATCTAACCACATGATAGATTCTATTATTCTCAACTTGTCAACAAACATGTATATCAACTTGGATTTCAAGGATGCACACATATTCTCAATCCCACTGTCTATGAAACTGAAATTAATTTAAACTAATAAAATGACTAAAATTAAACACATTTTAACGCTAACAAAATGATCTGAACAGACTCGGATATTTTTCAAATTTTTCCCAGCGAAGTCTTGATGTAAATTCGCCAACCACAAACGCCTTCTTTCTTCCGACAATACACCCATATACCATGTTAACAGTGCACTTTCGATATAAGCTACATAACTAACCGAGGTATATCGAGTGAAAAAATACGAATTGTTTCCCTTATCTTCTATTAAAATCGATATCTCTTATGCTTAAACAATACAAATTAAGCCTTTTTAAACCGCTAGTTTGTTGAGATGTTCGATTTTAAAATTTATTACATCAATGGAAAGCGTTGGATTTTAGCTTCGTCCAAGTATATACTTCAACACATCTATTTAAATAAACTGTTTAACCTACCATATGCCTAGCTGTTTTACATTGAGACACGCAGATAGGAATAATTTGCCTGTCGTCTGCTAGTTCGGAAGGTGTTTATTTCTCCCCTTCAAGGACAATCGATAATACTGTTTGTCATTATCCCTATAAGATCTATTATGACATCCAAAAACACTCGACAATAGTTTTACCATTTTCAATTAATATCAATTGTTAGCACGTGTTTACACTTTGCCGTCTTCTGACAATTATTCGGGTCATGACCTTATCTTTAATATGGCGACCGGCCTATCGATTACGTAATCTGCAAACATAAAGCAATATACCTTTTATGTCAACCGACATGAAAACATTCAATGTTTTGTATTATCATATTAATGATGTATAACTTGTTTACAAGGTCATCTCAGTATAAGATATCGTTCAAGCTTGTTTTAGTTGCGCGTATTATCTAACCTTAACTTTTGGCAACATAAATAGATGGGTATTTCCAAAATGCTTATTTAAGAATATGAATCACGAAAGAAATATTTTCATTTTCGTTTTCGTTGTGAAGAAAATTAGAATTTATGTGCATTTAGCATAAGTTGTGATAATAGAGAGGTACAAAATGATTTGGCAGATATTAGCGATAGCTACATTATTAACTATATGTGCAAGATTTAATTTGACTACAGGTAAGGCTAATGCTTTTTTTTTTCTTAAATAGATGTTTTCTAAAACTCGAAAATATGGGTTCTCCCATCTAATCTATGGGTACAACACACTTTTTCAGTTTCATGGTACATTATCATTCACAATAGGGTAATCAAAGCGTTGCGTCTATTGTCGATATATATTGTATTAACAAATTCACGGCGATAATGGATATTGTCAAAAAATATGATAAACGAGATCAACAAGGAAATGCGGCGTTCAATGCAAACCCTAGAGCTGGTATATTATTATGTCACTTTCACCTTATGTATTATCTACCTATAAACTTTAAAACTACAATTATATAAATCACCTCGTCAAAGGCAACACTTGAATTTTATAATAACATTGGAACAAGTGTGCGCCTAATGATTACTTAAGCTAGAATTATTCCAGGGATGTTAATTTGTACAATACTTGATACCGCCGAGCTTTGTATAATTTATGTGCCTAAGGATGATATAAAATATCAACTGTGGAAATTTTACTCATAAGGCGATATTCGATCTGTACACAGTCTTGATTCAGTTCTGCAGATGTTTCGAATTCAGTGATCTACTTTTCCATGAATGACTAACCTGCTTTCGGTGCACTCTACGAAAAGTTTGTTTTGCTCGTTTGTACACTAGGAATAGAGACTCAATTTTTCTTGGTCATCCAGCATGCATCCATTTTTTTCACGAGTATTTTGGGAAAGATTGAAGCTTTTTTTTGTAATTAATTCTTTTGATGTTATTTTCATGGCCGACCAATAATCATACATTGTTGATTAATTTCACCATTGCTTATAATCGGTTAAAATCGGGCTTCTATGAGTTGTTCTGAGCCTTTAAGTCTTTCAGAGTATCTTCTTTTCCAATTTATATGAATTCGAATATTTGCTTCGATATCTACTGAAACGTAACATAAATATGCTTAAAGACGCTTTAGTGTTTGTTTCTACGAATTGAAACATTGCACAGAAAATATGTAAATCCTGTAAAATGGTTAACTTTTTCATCATTTGTTTCATAGACTCCATACTTTATGGAGTTTCGTATGACAATTGATCTGATAATTCCTGATTGTTGTTTTATTGTAAATAAGATATTTTTCTTTTTCATTACTGTTATTCCTACATATGTAAGGTCAGTTTGGCATACTGTGCCTTGGTTAGTTGAAGAGTCCTCTTGAAACAGTTTTTCACAATCCTGTGTAATACTAAGCAAGGTCCTGAATGCATCGGCTTTTCTGTTTCTATCTTTTTTGTCGCTGAAAATCAGTGACAAGATATGGTGATGTTAAGTGTTTTGACCCAATATTTACTGTAAGTCTCTTTTTCATATAAAGCTGCTTTCCTCCCAGAAAAATAAAGAGTTACGTTTTTAATCAATTTACTTTATCAAATTCAATAATTATAATGCAGATTAAAATCATTTTAACTGAACTAATACAGAATCACATAGTGTCCGACTTGTTTTTAGCCCAGTTGTAAGATATTTACATAATTTACACATTCATAATTCTCAACTTTTCAACAAATCAACTTGGATTTCAAGGATGTATATGTATTCTCAATTCCACTGAAATTAATTTAGACTAAGAAAATTACAAAAATCAAACAAATTATACCGCTAACAAAATGGTCTGAACAGCCTCCTTTAATTTTCAATTTTCCCAGCGAAGTCCTGATGTAAATTCGCCAACCACACACGCCTTCTTTCTTCCGACAATTCACTCGTTTTCTCTCCTTCACGAGTTACTACCTCGGGCAATCGATAATACTGTTTGTCATTATCCCTATCAGATATATAATGACATCCTAAAACTCGATTTTAAACAAATTTCAATTGTTATCGCTAAATTCACTGCGGTATACCGAACCCCGGATATTGCTCGATATTATGAGGACTTTCATCCCTTTTCGCGACTTTGAACGAGGAAAGAAGGTAAGTTCAGTGACGACATTTTGAATTGCTTTGATATAATTTTTTTAGAAAAACAAATACTTCGATAATTTCCCTAGTTACTGAAAACCCAAAAATGTTGAGAAATAGCTTTGAAATGTAATTAGGAGGTAAAATTCGTCTCTTTGCTCACGTGATAAATGAGATCGGATCAGTCAAATTTGATGTTTTTGTGCATATACTTCCTTAAAAGAAAAACTTGAATCGAGTGAAATGTGATAATGATGATAATGTTTATGTTGTAAATGTTGAATCAACAATAGAACCTCAGATGACAGTGTATTTTGAGAATAAATACACTTGTCAGTGTACCAAGTATTGCGTTGGAGTTGCCCGCCGGTGTCACGAGTGTTGCTTTTAGTGTAACGAGTACTGGTTATCATTATAGAATAAATGCAAGTAGTAAACACAGAGCATTTAATCTCAAATATTTCTTATTTCTTATACATATTTACACTATATGTGCAGAATATACAGAGTTCGGAGGTAATTTACTGGAAACATCTGCGAATAATCCAGATATTCATTCCTGCTCATGAATAATCTCAGTCGAACGAACTGAGCAATTTTCTATGTTTACAAAGTTCTCGTTGCTATCAAGGATCAACCTTTCCAGAATTTGTTAATAATTATTGCATATCTTACTTTAAATAATAAAATAAATGCATCCAAAGTGCATTCATGCTGCCTCAAAATTGTCATTATTAGACGGTATTGAGCAAATGTGCCAATATCTAATATCAACCGACTTCCTACTATGCCAAATATCCATATAAAGGTAACTTTCGGTCATTTTGTACCTGTACTCTAGCAACAGCAGACCGTCTGCACGTGAAATTGGTTACGTCATTAGCAATGAGTTACCATATGATTGCCAGCGGGTACAGCTCAAAAAATCGAAAAATGGATTTTGATAAGATTATGATAAAGGGCAGCAGATGCAATAAAAAGGTTATGTTCCTTATAACCTTTTACCTCATAAAGGCGTGTTTTGAAGGCTTTACACCCCACCCCTTTTGAGGCATCAAATAGTGTAAAGCATGCGCTATTTAGGCACCAACACTGTTTTTTTCGTTTGAGAAATGTTGTTCAAAAGAGTGATCATTTTTTCGGCGCCACACCCATTAAAAAGGTACATCAAGGGGGTGCCACAGGGAGGATGTGCCCCCTTCTGTTTGTGGGTTTGAAGTGGGCTGTAGCCCCTCTAATCGCCGAGAAGATTTGGGACTTGTGGGGTGGGGGGCTAAAATGGCCTCAGATCGATTTAAGGTACCGTGTAATCAACGCCGAAAAGCCTTAGAATTTATCTCAATCAATTGAGAAGTTGCTGCAACTTGAAATCAGTTTTTGATGGGAAAACACAATGAAAAATAGAGATTTTTGGCAATTTTGAGACGTTCCCTCGTTGCCATGGTTACTGGAAATCTAAAGTTGAGCATGCTTTCCTCAGGCTATGGTCCAGCTAACATTTGTGCCCAGTTTGATCAGTATTGAAGCATTTTTTATAGTTTCATAGCAGTTTGAACTTGTAACAGGAGGCTTAAGTCAATGAAAACACCCATTTTTTGCAATATGCTCATGCTGTAAAAGGTTAAGACGATACCGGCATACTTGGACGGCATAAGCCCTCGGGCCAATTTTTTACTATGTGTGTCGATATGTTTCTTAAGGCAAACTTGCCCTGTAAAATCCTATTATTAATGTCATCTAAATATGTTTTTTATTCTTCTTCTTTTCAGAGATGGGTCTCCTTGATCAGTTTCTTGAGACATGTAAAGATTTGTATCGTCCATTTTGATGGTTCTATCCTGCTCCCGACCCTGCTTCCGACCCTGCACACACTTTTACTTTATTTCATCTATAGTGTGATTTTCAATCAAAAGGGGAATTAAATCTCTGTATTTGCAAAAAGAACAATAATAACACTGAAAATTGTTGAATCTGAAATTTTTGAATAAATACAGTGTAACTTCCGAATTCCGGAACTTCTGAAATCCGGAAACTTCTAAAACCGAACATTTTTTTCGGTCCCGATTTTTCCCTTCTATTTTCTATTAAGATAATTCCGGAACTTCTAAATTCTAAATTCCGGACGATATTTTCGTAAAATTAGAGTCAAATCAATGCAATTTTACCTCCAAAAACTGGAAATATCCAAAGGTGTGAAATACATTGTAAAACGAGAATTTTTACCCTGCAGGAAGATTTAATCTCCCTATCGATTGTTTACTAATTAGCGGTGATCGTGTAATTTGACACGCGTCAAAATCACAAACTGTGAAATGGTATGTTTCAAGTGATGCGGTTTCTCAAAGTAATTTACGGCGGTCAGTTAATTGGAAGTGTTTATTAGCGGATTAAATGACAATTAATTGGACAATGTATGCATCAAACGTCTTTAAGGATTTTATTGCATTTTATGTTATAATTAATTAACTAGCATTTGCAGGTAAGATAAAAATGTATTCTTTTCATGCACATCTTTATCTTGATTAAAAAACTATTATAAATGATAATACAGTAATGGTCACATCTTCCTTGACATTAAGTGATATAAAGTGGCTTAGTCTTTTCCACATTATCATAAATTCCGTAAACCTCTGAAATCCGAACTTTTTGACAAGTCCCATGAGTGTTCGGTTTTCGGAAGTTACACTGTATCATATAACAGTACATTATCAGAAAAATAAAATGGAATGGATAAACAGACGTAAGAATTAGACAAAAATATCGATTTTCCATACTTGTGTGTTCATTCTGTTGCAATACACTGTACACTAAAGTTGGGCTATCTTGCAATACTCTGTACACTTAAAATCAATACTCCGTACACTTTCTTGTATCTTTTTTGGCCTATATCTTTTTGAACTTTCACACTTTTTGCCTGAAATTTGGACAAAGCATACTTGGATTGTAAATAAAAAAATTGCTCGATTCAATTTTTTTATATTGGTAATATAATAATTTCTAACGATTCTACAGTATCGCGGTCAGTATTTTTTAGTGAGCAGCGGATCATTAAGGGGTAGTTTAAT